AGGAGAGGTGATGTTTGTGAGCCCTTCATCTGGAAGGTTTTCTCTTGAGTGGTGTTATTAGCTCCTTTAGAAAGGTCCCCGGGGTGGGGGTAGGGTGGGGTGCCTGCTTATACTCTCAGTACTCAGTAGGCTGAGGCAGAAGGATGGTGATGTCACCGGTCGGGGATCCACAGCGAGACCCTGTATCAATCAATCACCCAGTCACTGGAGAACTTGTGTTCAGGATGATTCCATCTCAACATGTGATGTACAGCTTTGCTCTGCACTCAGCTTCCATCCCATGACGTAGTCTGACTGCATAAAAATAGACTCGAGAGTAGAAAAACACTCTACCGAGGGGATAAAAGCTGTGGGTAAGGACTGTGGTGCCATGTTTAAGTGGTTAGGTTGTGTAGGTTACAGAAGTCAAGCTGAGTCAGACTGACTGAGGGAGGGCGTTATTGATTTTGTCTTTATTTTTTAATGAGAAAGATTTGAGTGTTTTACTGGCTAAGAGTAAGGACACAGTTGACAGTCTCTGGGTCAAGATTGGGGAAAGGAAGACAGGATGGAATTATGAAGAAAAGGAAAATGACTTCTTCCAAAGTTTTAGTTAAAATACAGGTTCCATTAGCAGACCAAGTATTGCAAACTGTTAAACTGCTTTCTTTGTTTGTTTTTGTATTTCAAGATAGGGTTTCTCTGTGAAACAGTCCTGGCTTTTCTGGAAACTCACTCTGTAAACCAGGCTGGCCTTGAACTCACAGAGATAGGCCTACCTCTGCCTCTGCTTCCCAAGTGCTGGGACTCAAGGTGTGTACCACCACTGCCCATCACTAAACTGCTTCTTAGGCTCATTTCTCTTATGTTCAACTTTTCCAAAGTGAGCTAATCAGACAAGAGCCCACCTGAGCACTGGTGTAGAGGAGGAGGCAATCTTCATGCCCAGAGATAGGTAAGTCATCTCAGTTTTAAAATTGTTAAATGTTGGTAAATTAGCAAGCCTGTTTTCATTTTTAAAGAATTGAGAAGGAATTCAAAATGGAAAAGGCACCTAATGTTGAACAGCACATTAAATATGCCATGGTCACGCTGAGAAGCAAGTAGATCAACTCTAGAGGGTAAGGGGCTGAAAAGTAGAAGACCTGAGTTCAGATCCCAGCACCCACACAACACGCCAGGCATTGCCCCATATGCCTGTAATACCAGTGCTGTAAGAGGCAGTGGCAGAGTAGCCCCTGGGACTTGTTGACTCTCAGCCTGGCCAAAAACTGTGAGCTCCAAACTCAGGGAAAGGCATGCCTCCAGGAATAAGGCTAAGCATGAAGAGGATACCCAACACTTTCTTCCTTCTCCACATGTGTGAAACAGGGGAGTGTACCTGCACACGTATGTGCACACACACACACACACACAGACACCACGCATGCACAACTAAAAAGTAGTAAGATCTATTTAGTCATGTTGTTAAGCATATACATTGATTATTTACACAACAGTTTCAAGAGAAAGTAACATTGACCCCTAAGAAGCACTTCTGAAAATTCCATTTTTCTGATCCCTTTTTCTTTTCTGTAAAATATTTTCTGTATTTTTTAGTACTGCATTAGCCAGAGTTCTCTGGAATTTATTGGAATGGTTTACAGACTGCGGTCCAGCTAATCCAACAATTAGCCCAAGAATTTGGTGGATGCTCAGTTCCACGAGGCTGGGCATCTCAGACGATCTCCCAGTGCCAGTGATGGAAGGGATGTGCTAGCAAGGCCAGGGCAAGCAGGCAAACACAAAAGCTTCCTTCTTCTATGTCCTTATATAGACTTGCAGCAGAAGGTATGGCCCAGATTAAAGGTATGTCTTCCCATCTCAAAATTTGGATTAAAGGCTATGTCTTCTGTCCTCAAGATTCGAATGAAAGGTATGTAACTTCCTACCTCAAAGATCTGGACTAGAAGTGGATTTACCCATATGAAACTAAGCAATAATAATCTCTCACAGGTATACCCTCCATTTCTGGATTGTAGTTCATTCCAGATATAGTCAAATTGATAGCCAAGAAGAGCCATTACAAGTACCTTTGACAACTATCACTATATTCTGAAGTCACTAGATGACAACAACACAAACACAGGAAATCAAGGCACCAACAGTATTCATTTAGCATGCAGTAATGATATGGTTCACATTCATTAGATGGCCGCAGGAGGTCATGGAGGTGCCATGTGGATTACATGTACACACAAATTTCACAGGAAGTTTACTGTGCTTTTTCTTTGCATTAAAGTTAAGGGTTAATAATTGGTCAAATAGGAATAAAGATGGAATTTGTGCTCTTTTTTATTTTTTATTTTATTTTTTTTATTTTTTTATTTTTTGGTTTTTCGAGACAGGGTTTCTCTGTGGCTTTGGAGACTGTCCTGAAACTTACTCTGTAGACCAGGCTGGCCTCAAACTCACAGAGATCCGCCTGCCTCTGCCTCCCGAGTGCTGGGATTAAAGGCGTGCGCCACCAACACCCGGCTCAGAATTTGTGTTCTTTTTTTTTTTTTTTTTTTGGTTTTACGAGACAGGGTTTCTCTGTTTTGGAGGGGAATTTGTGTTCTTATCAATGACAAGATCCCTGAGATAGCAGAAAGTAATATTTTAAAGGAAAAAAAAAGTGGGATGTTAGCCAGGCAGTGGTGTGTGCCTTTAATCCCAGCACTCGGGAGGCAGAGGCAGGTGGATCTTTGTGAGTTTGAGGCCGGCTTGGTCTACAGAGTGAGTTCCAGGACAGTCACAGCTGTTTCACAGAGAAACCTGTCTCTAAAAACAAAAACAAAAAGAGGGTTGGGAGCGATATACATTAAAAGGGGGGAAGGATTAGGTGGAGAGCCAGGAGAGGTTTTGTAAAGAATGGAGGATTGGGAAGGTAAGAAAATTAACTCAAGGAATTACAAAGACTAGGACTGTTTAGTGAGGAAAACCTTTCTAAACTTTGTTGATCATAACCTATAAACCCAATAATGTGGAAAATTAAAGTTGTTCTTGTGGTTATCACTTTTAAATGTTGTGGTTTATTTCCCATGATAGTCTAGGAACGTACTAGGAGTTGTTTTTCTGATTTGTTGTCAGTGGTGGTGGTGTCTGTGTTTTTAAAGTAGGGTCTTATGTAGTCCAGGGAAGACTTGAACCCCTGATCTTCCTGCTTCCAACTATGTTGAGTTATAGGCATGTGCTACCATACCTCTGTCAAATATTTTTTGTTGTTTTGAGATAGAGTATCACTAGCACAAGACATTCTCTAACTCAGGATGATCCTCCTGCCTCAGCCTCCTGAGTGCCAGGATGTATATACTACCATGCCTGGCTTGAAAAAGAAATTCTTGCCCAGCAATGGTGGCACACACCTTTAGTCCTAGCACTTGGGAGGCAAAGGCAGGTGGATCTCTGTGAGTTCAAGGTCAGCCTGGTCTACAGAGCGAGTTCCAGGACAGCCAAAGATACACAGTGAAACCCTGTCTCAAAAAAGCAAAAAGAAAAAGTAATTCTTTACTGCAGTGTTAAGAGTATGTTTTGTGCCGGGCGTTGGTGGCGCACGCCTTTAATCCCAGCACTCGGGAGGCAGAGGCAGGCGGATCTCTGTGAGTTCGAGGCCAGCCTGGTCTACAGAGCGAGTTCCAGGACAGCCTCCAAAGCCACAGAGAAACCCTGTCTCGAAAAACCAAAAAAAAAAAAAAAAAAAAAGAGTATGTTTTGTTTTGTTTTTAAAGCTTTCTCTGAGCTGAGGATGGAGCTCAGCTAATAGAACTTAGCATACCTAAGGCCCTGAGCCTGATCCCTGCCCCTCAGCTATAATCCCAACACTTGGTGGGTGAAGGCAAGATCAGAAATCCAAGGACAGTTTTAGTTACATAGCAAGTCTGAGGCCAACCTGGACTACATGAGACCCTGCCTCAAAAAATCTATTCTTTTTCAATTTTATAAGTGAAAACTCAGGTATAGCAAAACTCAGGTAGAGAGAGAGGGAGAGAGAGAAAGCTTTTTTTTGCTTTGTTTATAGCATAGTAACTTATGTAAGTTACAATAGTTTTTTTTAAATATTTTCTACTTTTTTAAAGATGTATTTATTATACATACTGTGTTCTGCCTTCAGGCCAGAAGAGGGCACCAAATCTCGTTACAGATTGTTGTGAGCCATCATGTGGTTGCTAGAAATTGAACTCAAGGCCTGGTGAAGACAAGCTAGTGTTCTTAACCACTGAGCCATCTCTCCAGTCCTTAAATGTTTGTTTTTCGTTTTTTGAGACAAGGGTTTTACTGTGTAGCCCTGGCTGTCCTTTAACTCACTTTGTAGACCAGGCTAGCCTCAAACTCAGAGATTCGCCTGTGTCTGCCTTCTGAGTGCTGGGATTAAAGATGTGTACTACCACTGCCGCCATTTATTTTTAATTTTTTATTTTATGCGCACATTTGTCTGTGTGAGGGTGGCAGATCCCCTGGAACTGGAGTGACAGACAGTTGTGAGCTGCCATGTGGGTGCTGTGAGTGGAGCCTGGATTTCTGGAAGAGCAGCCAGTGCTCTTAATCGCTGATCCATCTCTCCAGGTCACAGTTACAATAGTTCTAATGATACCATAAATGACAAAAACATGTAGAATATAGAATTAGATTGGTGAGGATTAAATCCTGATTTTATGGACTCTTGGCTTGGTAACCCCAAAATGATATGACCTTTCTGTAACTCGGTGTCCTCATTTGTAAAAGGAGGATCCTAATAGTTTCTATCTCATAGCATTTTTTATGAGAATTAAATTAGATAATTCATGTTCTAACTGCTTGGCATACACACACAAACGATGATGCTTATAATAAACGGTTACATAATTGCCTCTGTCTTCATGGGTTACCACTCAAGGAGTCCTGGAGGAGTGGCTTTACGCAGGTAAATAGTTAGGACTCAAACAGATGCTAGCTTATACAACTAGGAAAGGTCTTAGCTATAGGAGTCCTTGATTTGCACTGGGACAATTTCTATCACTCACCTTCTGAAGCCCTGTAGTGTAAGATGCACAACCTTCAGTCCTGGCGGTCACATGGCTTCAGCTCTTTCTCTAACCCAGATGGAGGGCATCCCTCTTTATCCTACCTTGACATAGACAGGTAAAATGCTGACCAAGGTGGTCTTCTTGGCTCTTACAGGAAAGTTCCCATTGTCTTGCCCATACTTGTCCGTCTTTACTAGGACTGATGGGTGCTCTGGTGGGAAGGGATCTAGCTGTCCAGGTTTCTGTAAGTCTCCACACGCTGGCAGCTCATGAGTTGGTGGCTTCTCTACAGTAGACTCTGCCAAGAGGTTGATGCACCACATCTCATGCTTATTGTTAAGTCACTGCTTGGGTGTCAACTGTTACTGCGTTATCCCTGTACCCCTAATGTGTAGCCTTTTGAACACCAAATAATGGGTACTGGTAGATTTGGACTAAAAAGTGAGCCTGCTTATATTTCCAACTACATCAATCCCCAGAAGCTTCCGAGATCATCCATACCATTGAGTCTTACCTCCACAATTCTTTTATATTAAATTATTTTAAATCTCTCAGTCTGATTCCACCCCCACTCCTCACCCTCTAAATCTTTTACCTGCCCCCCCCTTTCTTGATATATAACTTGTAATTTCTCAACTTGGAACATCTTTCCCCCTTCACTGCTTAAGCCAAGACCTTGTTCTTCCACATTTTTTGGTATGTCTCTCGAACAGAGACCATGTTTCTCACACCCATGTAGGAAGTGAGTAAGACATCTCTTGCTCCCTTTTCTTCTCCTTTCAAAAACTCTGGTTCCTTTGAAGTTCCTTTTTTTTTTTTTTTTTTTTTTTTTTGGTTTGGTTTTTCCAGACAGGGTTTTTCTGTGTAGCTTTGGGGTTTGTCCTGGAACTCACTGTAGACCAGGCTGGCCTTGAACTCACAGCGATCCACCTGCCTCTGCCTCCCCAGTGCTGGGACTAAAAGTGTGCGCCACCACTGCCCGGCCCTTTGAAGTTCTTACCATATTGTTTATGTATTGATAATACACACCTATTAGTTTCATTTAAGCAGACTCTAAGAAAAAACCAAAGCCAGGCAATGGTGGTACACACCTTTCATCCCAGTGCTCAGGAGACAGAAGCAGGCAGATCTCTGAGTTCGAGGCCAGCCTGATCTACAGAATAAGTTCCAGGACAGCCTGGGATACACACAGAGATCCTGTCTGAAAGAAAGAAAGAAAGGAAGAAAGAAAGAAAGAAAGAAAGAAAGAAAGAAAGAAAGAAAGAAAGAAAGAAAGAAAGGAGAGCGGGAGAGGAGGGTGGGGGTGGGAAGGGGATGGGGAGGGAAGGAAGAAAGGAAGGAAGGAAGGAAGGAAAGAAGGAAGGAAAGAAGGAAGGAAAGAAGGAAGGAAAGAAGGAAGGGAGCATTAGCAAAGGCAGAATGGGATAGAGAAAACACAAGGAATACTGTATGAATAGCGTGTGCCGTAACCAAGGGGGAATGACAGCCGTGGGTCTAGGCCAAATGTTATAACAGAGGGGAGAGCTTCTTAGGAGAACTACACATAGGAAAAACCATGGAAAAGAGCAGAGATCTTAAATTCAAGGACATAGTCTTCTCTCTAGTTGCTAGAGTCTAGAAGATAGGCCCGTATTAGCCATCCTCAACCAGTATCAGAGCAAGGAAGCCTGCAGACTCTAGTCGATAGGTTTCAGATAACAAGAAACAAGAGGTCTGGTGGGGCACGAAGAAATCCAGCTTATACCTAATGCTCTTCTTAGTTGCTGTGGCCTTCAACTCTCTTTTGGGATTTGAGCATTAGCTGATTATTTTCCTCTTCGTCACTCAGTGACTTCGGTATGGGGGGGTGCTAATGACCTTTTTCATTCATGCTCATAGACATACCTTAAATACTAACACCACCGGCTAATACACGATATTGACTTTAGGCATTCCACTCTGACTAGTACCTGGAGAGTTCACTGCAAGACTTACAGTGTTCAATCATAATCCTTTCCTTTTTCTCCTTGAGACAAGATCTACTACATCCTATGCTTGCTATGTAATGATTACAGGCATGCACCAAACCCAGCATTATGTGGTACTTTGGACAAACCCAGGGTTTCAGGTATGCATACATCTGGTACAACATGTATGTTATACAGCACTTATACAACCCACTGAGCTACAGCCCGAGCCCAATCTTCTAATCCACTGCTCTTCCCATCCCTTCACAGCACACGCCCTCCCAACCCCCAGCCCTCTGTCTTCTCTTCCTACTCTGTCCACAGAACACGCCTCAGACCGCGTTCCTTTAGGAAGGCTCTCCTCTATGTGCTGTATTAACCCGTCAAAGCTAACTCTGCCTAAAGGCAATTATCTGCCGTTCCCTGTGGGAAGAAAAATATGTAAAATATGTTGATTGCTGTCTCCTATGTTTGTCATCACAGGCTTTAAATGGCGTTTCGTTTGTTTTGTTTTTGAGACAAGGTCTCTAACCCCTAAGCCTCCTGCTTCCTCCTTTCAAGTGCTGTAATCACAGGTACACCCCATCAACCCTGGCTTCCAGGACGTTTTAATTACCCTGATCCTGGCGAAGGTGCCAGTTACTCAAGATTACTACCCTGTACCTTCTTTCTTCAGACCTCCCTCTCGGCAACACACAAACACACAGACACAGTCACAGACACAGACACAGACACGCAGGCACGCATACACACACACATACACACACACACACACACACACACACACACATCTTCAAGCTCTCATCCACTCACCACCAATTCCACTAACTTGCCTGTATCTGCATATCTGCATCTGCACCCTGGCTCTCTGACTGGTTAACAGAGTAAGGCTCACCCCGCTAACAGCCCACCTTGTTGACTTAGGTCCTGAATCCAAACTCATTTCATCTTCTGAAGAACTTCCCTCCTTCCTGTTGTCACGTTCCTTGGCTCTCCTGTGGCACTTTTCCTCCACTGGAGCTCTTTAGTAGCAAATATGCCAAATTCTCATCTTGAAACATTTCCTGGGGGCTGGGGTGCAGTTCCGGGGTAAGGGCTTACCTAATGTCTCCAAGGCCCTGCCTTTGACCCTCACAGTGTGTCAATCACAGAACAAAACTGAATTTTCTCAATTCCAAATTCCATGTCTCTTACCCAAGACACCCACTTCCCATTAAAGAAAAACTGGAAATGTCTAATAAGAAATCTGATTTTCAGCCAGTGGTGGTGCATGCCTTTAATGCCAGCACTCAAGAGACAGAGGCAGGGGGATCTCTGTGAGTTCAAGGCCAGCCTGGTCTATAGAGCGAGTTCCAGGACAGCCAAGGGTGTTACACTGTGGAACCCTGCCTTAAAAAACCAAATACATACATATATACATAAATAAATGAAAAAAATAAGTAAATGAGAGAGAGAAATCTGATCTTCTCCTCCTTCTTCCCTGCTCATTCTCAATGGCTTTCCAGCATCTACTATGCTATAGAATGCGGTTATTGTTTAGATTTCCGGTGACTGACCTGTTCCAAGTACCTGTCGTACTTACCTGTCAGCAACTTTTTGTCTGACTGCAGTCTGATCCTTAAATAATTTTCTTCCCTTGGTTCATGTGACCAGTTGCATTTGTCACTTTTCTGTCTCTGCTATAGAACACCATGACCAAATCATGAGGGATAAGAGTTCCTCACAGCAGAAAGGAACAGTGACATTCAGCAGGCATGGCCGCAGGAGCAGGAGGAAGCCAAGTGCTCACATCCAGAACAGACGTGCCAAGCAGAGACAGTAGACTATAAGTAGGAGAGGCTTTTTACTCTTTTTGTTGTTGCTGTTTTGGTTTGGTTTGGGATTTTTTGAGACAGGGTTTCTCTGTGGCTTTGGAGGCTGTCCTGGAACTAGCTCTTGTAGACCAGGTTGGTCTTGAACTCACAGAGATCGGCCTGCCTCTGCATCCTGAGTGCTGGGATTAAAGGAGTGTGCCACCAACGCCCGGCCGAGAGGCTTTTTACTCTTAAGGCCCATCCCCAGTGGGAAGACTTCCTCCAGCACAGCCATATTGCCTTAGCCTCAGAGCACCACCAACTGCGGACCAAGTGTTCAAATGCTTGACACTATGGGGAACATTTCTCATTCAAAACACTCCACCACTCTTTCCTGAGTCTCCTCCCACTCCTTTGGCTTTTCCATCTCCATTTTTTTTTTATTTCTCAGCCTCCCCTACTCCTTTAAGTGGTAGCAACCCCAGACTCTTCATTATCCTGTGGTATCTGGTGCAGTGTCCATTCGTATGGTTGTGAATATTGGTTGTCAACTTGACAACAGCATCTAGAATCCTGTAGGAGACAAGTTTCTAGGCACAAATGTGATGTTGGCTGGGTTAGCTGAGGTGGAAAGACTCACCTGAACTGTGGGTGCCACCATTTCATGGCCTTAGTCCCAGACTGGATGAACACGGAAAAGTAAGTTAAGAATGTGCAATCATCTGTCTCTGGTTCTTGACTGCAAGTGCCATGTGCTTTGCAAGAGAACATCTGCCTCACACTCCTGTTACAATGTGTTCTTTTCTTACCATGATGGACTGGACCCTCAGACCGTGTGCCAGAATAAACTCTTCCTTAGGTTGCATTTATTGGGTATTTGTCACAGCCATGGAAGAATTAATACAACTAGCCATAGACGTCTAGGTTTAAAATACTAGAATGCAAGGAGATGAAGCTAAAAATCCAGTTCAGTTGTACTAGCTACATTGCAAGTGCTCACTGGGCATATGTAAACAGTGCACAAACATAGACACTTCCATCATCACAGACAGCGGGACTGGACAGGAATGTCTGAACTCTCTAGTGATCTCACCCAGCTCCATGGTTTATAACTCATCTATATGGCAGTTGAGTTCTAAATTTATACCTCCAGTCTGACCCAAGCTTCAGATGCGAACACAAAACAGCTTGTATCATAAGAGTGCTTGAGTGTCTTAACAGACTATTTGAACTAAAGTTCAAAATAGAACACTCCGTTCATTCTCTTCACCTTCCTGCACCCACAAAAGCTTTTTTCTCCTCTGGTAAATGATACCACCTCACCAGGGGTTTTAAAATACTGGGCTTTTTAATTTTATTAAATATATTTGTTAGCATGCACACTTGTGTGCAGTTACTTGTGGAGGCCAGCAAAAGGCACCAGATCCCCTAGAGCCACAGCTACACAGACAGTTGTGAGCTGCCTGATGTGGGTGCTGGGAACAGAACTCTGGTCCTTGTAGGAGCAGCTAATGCTCTTAACCATGGGAGCCATCTCTGAAGCCTCCATCTCACCAATTTTGAAACCAAAAATCTGGTGTTATCCTGATTCCTCCTTTTTATTCATCTTCATATCTAATCCATTATTTTTACTGACTTCATACATAAAATATAATTCAAATCTCTCCTTAGCTACTGCCTCTGCCATCTTCTCTAGTCCAAGATCCTTGCCTGGGCCACTGTCCTGCTTCTATGACATGACCTGCAACTACAAGTTTGCACAATAAATATGCTGACTAAATTCACACATGCAATCCCATAGAATACTGAAAAAAAATCCAACTCTGTAAAAACTTCAAAAGCATGCCTGAATATTAGATGTTTGCCATAGGAACTTTAGAAAATAACTTCTTCCTGCAGTTTTGAGAAACAGCCTCATGTAGCCAATTCATTATCCTCTCTTCCCTACCTATCTCCCAAGGGCTGAAGCTGAGAGTGTCAGCTGCCAAGTCTCTGTCAAGAAAGTCTAGCGAACAGACTTAAGAATAACTACCCAGACAAACTCAATGGCTGGTGTGAATCACATATTATTCATTTTGTCAACCATTCAAGTTTTCTCGTGTTTTCCCGAAGGACCATGAATCTGCTATCACTGTGTCAGTCTGGCTCGCCTCAGGAAATTTTGTGTTGCTACTTCTTTCGGCTCAGTCTTAACTTCCCAACAACGCAGTACAGCTTACTGACCTCTTGATTCTGTTCTACACATCCGATCACAGCCCAGGGTTCTGCTTATTCGGTAGACTGTTGAGGGGTCCTCCACTCCTGCTTGCCTCTGCCTACTCGCCTCATGCCTGCAGGCTTTTTTCCTTGACAGGAAAACATTCCCCCTCGATAACTCAGAATAACTCAGCCAATAACTCAGTATTGGTTACTTGTCTTGTTGCTGAGACAAAGAACCAAAGAAAGGGTTTACTCTAGCTCACAGTACCAGGTAATCTAGCCTGTGTCTGAGAAACCACAGTAGTAGAAGGTGAGGTAGCCTCATCTGCTGTCACACAGATGAATGCTGGCACCCAGATCCCTCTCTCCTTATTCAGTCCAGGATCCCAGCCCTTGGAAGAGGGCAACTCACCATTAAGGTGGGTCTTCCTGGTCTAGATTAGCATAGGCATGTCCAAAGGCTTGTCTCATGGGTCAGTGTAGATCCTGTCACATTGACAAGTAATATAAGCCATCTCACACATCAGACATTGTCTCTACTTTCTTTGATTATCAGCCTAACTGGTAGCCCCCAAATGCCTCACTGTCCGCATCTCCCAGTTGTGGTCAAACTGAATTACAGTGATGAGAGGACAGGAGGATAAGGTAATGGGAAGTGTTATAGTATCCCTTCCATGTTAAGTCTTCCTTAATGTGGAGCTTGGGACCTGGGCCGTGTGATTAGTGTATGCCTGAAAACTGCAGTGCATATGTTGGTTTTCAAACACACATCTTCACACCAGTCCAAAACTACAGCTGCCTGTGAAAACAACCGCTTCTTCTTTAACGTCCAAGCTATTCCCTTCCTCCATATAACGGCCACAAACCATATCAGAATTTTTTTTGGTTTTGGTTTTCTGAGGCAGGGTTTCTCTGTATTGTTTTGGAGGCTTTCCTGGAACTCGCTTTGTAGACCAGGCTGGCCTTGAACTCACAGAGAACCGCCTGCCTCTGCCTCCCGAGTGCTGGGATTAAAGGCGTGCGCCACCAACGCCCGGCCCCATATCAGAATTTTATGTCACCCTTCATTCCTATCTCCACCACCATTGGGAACTACTTAATTTCGAGTATGGGAGATATAAATATGGTTTAAAATAGTGAAAGAAACTCTCCCTTGAGGGATTTTGAAAAGACATATTTTTCTTAACACAGAGCTGATAACAACATAACAACTTCTTAAGGCTGGGAAATTGCCCTGTGTGACGCTATTTCTGGGTCACTAATATCCCCTTTTTGTTTGCTTGTTTGTCTGAAACAAGGACTCTCACTCTGTAGCCCTGGCTGGCCTGGAAACCACCGAGCTGGCCTTGCAGAGATCCATCCTCCTCTGCCTCCTGAGTGCTGAGGTTGAAGGTGCGAATGACCATTCCTGGCCACTAATATCTTCTCTTAAATATGAAGCAAGTCTTAGATTGAAGCCACCTTGAAGAATGACAGAGAAGGCAGTGGAAGACAATGACACAACACTTGTAATGTTCTTGAACCACTCTTTTCTTCTGTGTGTGCACGTGGGCATATCAGTGAGTGCACCTGTGTGTGTGTGAGTGTATCAGTGAGTGCACCTGTGTGTCTGAGTGTATCAGTGAGTGCACCTGTGTGCCTGTGAGTGTATCAGTGAGTGCACCTGTGTGCGTGTGAGCGCATTAGTGAGTGCACCTGTGTGCATGTGAGTGTATCAGTGTGTGTACCTGTGTGTATGTGAGGAGGCCAGAGGTCAGCATCGTCTTCCTCACTTGGTTCTCTGCCTTACTCTTATTTTAAGAATTTGCTTTTTATGAGTATGGGTGTTTTCCCTGAATTATTTCTGGGTACCACTTATGAGCCTGCAGAGGTTGGAAGAGGGAGTCTGATCTCCTAAAACCAGAGTGGCAGATGATTGTGAGGCACCAATTGGGTGTTGGGACTTGAACTTGAGTCCTCTGACAGAGCAGCCAGTGACCTTAAGCTACCACTCCAGCCCCTTTGCCTTACTTTTTGGAGGGGAGGAGACAGGGTCTTCCATTGAACCTGGAATCCACTGATTGGTTCAAGCCCATGGATCCTCCACCATACTTGGCTTTTTCTTTGTGCTGGGGATCAAAACTCGCATCCTCATGCTTGCCCAGCTGGCACTGAGCCTCTCCCCAGCACCTGAGCTGTATTGTCATACTCACCAGAGGCCCTGCCTCTGGCTTCCAATGCTGTATGTCTAAATCTGCAGCATTTCTCATTGCATCCAAATTTGACAGACACTGACCTCTAGGTCATCAACTATGGATTTTCATCACATAAGTAATCTTAGGCAAACCAACTTTTGTGTAATCTATTTCTCCATCTACTGAGAACCTGATTGTAAAGAATGAGGTCAAGAGGGATTGATGAAAGAGCCCATAGGCAAAGTGCTGTGAGGTCTACAATCAGGCTTCTAATTCTAGATGATAATATTGCACTCAGGCAAGCAGTATGACCTTTGTGGACCTGTCTCACTCATCTGCAAGCCTGACCTATCTAACCTGCAGCCCTAGGAGGGTCTGAAGGAAAATAACATTTAGCCTCAGGAGGTTTTATTTTGCTATAACTTAGGCTAAGTCGGGACGAACCCATGCACAACTGAGATTGGAGGAGGCACTGGCAATTCCATCATTTCAGTGGAACAAGCTTTGTGGTAAAATTAACTACTGACTGTGAGACTATGCCTTCCTCCTCTTGCTCTCTGAAGCCAAGGAGCTTCCATCCTCCCAGGAATATGAAATAGTTTGAAGGTATCACAATTGTGATCATAGTTTGAGATCTGTGACACTGTCTAGAAGAGTAAAAACATGAACGTTGGGAAAGGGCAGATTTGAATGTTTTCCCCCTAAGGGTACACCTCTGAATGGCAAACATTTTCAGTTCTGTCTGTATGTGGAACCCCAAGTGTCTTTTTGTTTGTTTTTAGAGACAGGGTTTCTCTGTATTGCTTAGGAGCCTGGCCCGGAACTCACTCTGTTGACCAGGCTGGCCTCGAACTCACACCTGCCTCTGCCTCCCGAGTGCTGGGATTAAAGGCATTTGCCACCAAGACCGCGCTCCCAAGTGTCTTGTAAGAAGGGAGAATGAAAGGAAAGAAGTAATGATGTATGCAATGTACCTCAGGCAAAAACTGGCAGGGTTGGGGCAGCTACTAACCCGACTAGCCTGACGTTTGACATGGTCACTGAGGGAAATCAAACTTCTCCAGCAATTAACCTCCCAGTTAGGCTTGAATAACTGTAGCTTAGTCTTTTGTTTTGTTTTGTTTTGTTTTTTTCTTCGAGACAGGGTTTCTCTGTGTAGAGCTTTAGAGCCTGTCCTGACACTCACTCTGTAGACTAGGTTGGGTTCGAACTCACAAAGATCCACCTGCCTCTGCCTCCCGAGGGCTGGGATTAAAAGGGGGTGCGCCACCAACGTCCGGCTAAAGCAGCAGAGCCTTAGCCATTACGGACTCCTCCATTTAACTCCGCCTATCACAGACAAGCCCCGCCCACGAGACGCGACCGACGCGTCGCTCTGCGTTTTCCAATCAGAGCTGCACTTCTGAACTTTGACCACCCAACTCATCAAGCTCCGCCCAGCGCAGACAAGCCCCGCCCACAGAGGGACGCTTCAATCCGCGTTTCCACTTTACGAGCGTTCTCGCCAACTTTGACCGCCGGCGCCGGAAATACTACGCATGCGCCATCCCTTTGCATGGTGAGCCTTCTGATTCTAGCTGCCGCAGCGGGAGCGGTGGTGATCTTGCTAGTCGTGAGACTATGGGCCGTGCTGAGGCCCCAGCACGTCGTTTCCCGAGAGTCTCTCACACTCTTGATAGTTGCTGGATCCGGTAAGTAGCCCGGTGGTGGCCGGCACTACAAACCCCAGAGTGCATCGCGAGGCTCTTCGGCCGTCCTAGCGCCTCTATGAGCGCTGCTCGTAGAGATTTGTAGTTTTTTGCTTTTTTTTTTTTTTTTTTTTTTTGCGTTCCCGGAACCGGGCAACCCAGACAGGTAAAAAGGCTGGGTCGCCAGCCGCCTTGTCATTAAGACAAGTAATTTATACTTGCCTGTAATTAAGCCTCTCTGCAGTGTGCAGCTTTCGAACAAGTTATTAGCGATGGAGTACGCTGGAGTCTCTTGATGCTAATATACGTTGGCTTCTTTGGTGCCGTGCGTTATTAATCTAGACCTTTTGTATTTAGTTTAAGAAACGTGAACATTATGTAGTAAACGAGGCAGAGTTGTCACACATAAATGTGCTAAGTCCTAGTTCCAGGACAGCCTCCAAAACAATACAGAGAAACCCTGTCTCGAAAAACCAAAAAAAAAAAAAAAAAAAAAAAATGTGCTAAGTCCTTGAGGATAAAAAGGTGGACATTCCATACGACAATAACCTCAGAGTTAAATTTTAATTTTTAAAAATTTTCAATCTGAAATGTAAAAACTTTTAAACTTAAAGTTTTAGATGAAAAAGAAAAAAATTTAGATGAGCAGTTTTAACATGTGTATAGTTAAACACGACTTTACACAGCCAAGGTGGTAGGTACCCAATCCTATACATCAGTGGCCATCTGGAATACATATGGTATAAAATCTGTTGCTCCAGGGTCAGGAAAACAAAACTAAGTCAAGTCTAATAGAAAATCATGCAGTTAAGAGACACAGTGAATTTGAGGTGTTTAAGACTGCCTCTGCAATTGGGTTTACAGTTTTACAGTAAACTTTAAAAAATAGAACACTAATAAAAATTACACAAGCCAGTAATGTAGTTGTGTACTATCATTATAAAGTGTAAGGTTCTGGATATCAATAGTGTATGCTGTGCTTTTTTACAGGATAGGCAGCACAGCAAATTTGCTCATATAGCACTACAAACACAGATTACCTTGGGCTGCTGTGTTATGATGATGTTCATGTCACAGGGCAATAAGGATTGTTCCATTCCCTTTTAATCTCCTGTGACCACTGTCAAGTGTGCTATCATTGACTAAAACATCATTATGCGATGAAGAACGACACACAAGAAATAATATTTATCACGGAAGCAAATGTACCAAACTTACTTGCAATTATAATTCCTTATTTACAAAGCACATTTTGAGTCAAGGGAAAGGCCAGACACTAAACTGAGCTCTGGAAAAAAGAAAGCTGAAAATAGAGTAAGTACAATAAAGCAAGACAAATATCACTTGCCATCGAGTGATACCAGTGTGCCAAGCACTAGAAAAAGGCCAGGGACACAGCAGTGAATGAAACAGAGAAGCTAACAGGAGATGAAACAAAATGAGTAGTTACCACGCAGAGGACTAAAATCTCACGTGAGAAGCACAAGTTATTTCCAGTGAGATGCAAAGCCACTGGGACTTTTGGGCAGAAGTAAAATATTTATCAATTGTTTAAAAGCAGGAACGCACTGGATGCAGTGTTGAAAATAGCCTTGAGAAGTAAAGGAAGTGGGGATATGACCTGTATGAAGCTGTAGTCACACTTATGTGAGAGTGCCTCAGGTGGGATGGTAGCTAGGGAGGCTCCGGAAGTGATCGGAGGGGCGGGGGAGGTGGCTCAGCAGTTTAAGAGGGCTTGTTCTTGCAGTGGACCAGAGTTTGAGTCCTGGAACCCACGTGGTGGCTCACAACCATTTGTAACTCCAGTTCCACAGGTCTTGTAGGGATCCAGTGAAGTCCCGAGTGAATGTGCATTATTGATATAGTTGTGTCATATTGTGGTTGTTTGAATGAAAATGGCCCTGCAGGCTCCTAGGAACTGGCGCTATTGGGAAGTGTGGCTTTGTTGGAGTAGGTGTGGGGTTATTGAAGGAAGTGCATCACTAGCGGTGGACTTTGAGGTCTCAGAAGCTCAAGCCAGGTCTAGTGGCTCAGTGTACTCCTCCTGCTGCCTGTGGATCCAGATGGGAAACTCTCAGTTACCCCTCCAGCACCATGTCTGCCTGCATGCCACCATGCTTCACACCATGACCTTAATGGACTAAAGCTCCTCATGCGTTGCTGTGGTCACAGTGTCTCTTCATAGCAGTAAAGCCCTAACCAGTACATGTATCAAGGACCCCAGTGCCTCAGTCCCATGGCAGCGGCCCAGCCTAGGTGACGTGCAGAGGGATGACAAAGCCTTCCTCTGGTCCTGGTTGGAATGTTGGTAGAGTATGCAGAAAATATCCACTGCAGCTTCCCCCACTCCAGTGTTTACATCCTGAAACCGCTCCCTGTAGATACTGTCCCTACAGAACTAATCCTGCCTCTTTGTTCTGCTGTGTATAGCAGCCCTGTCTCCTTGCAATAACCCTTCCTTCCATCAGCTGTGTGTGGCCTGCAGCTTCTTCATCAGAGAGTCCAGACCACCCAATTCCAGCTTCTCTGTATGTGTATCTGCACGCCTGCCCTTTCTTTATTCCCTCACCAACCAGTTAGGTCAATCCCAGGAGCTATGCAGAACATGATGGAATCCTACACTCTCTCCTGACTTCCAGATGACGCACAGATATACATGGGAACAAAAACCCTCATACATATTAAATAAATCTTTAAAATTAGAAGATAAAGAAATGATTGGATGTTAGGCGTGTTTTAAGGTTATTATCAGTTAATATTATCTCCAATATGTCTCTCTTTTTTAAAGATTTATTTTAATTTATGTGTATACATTTGCATGTTTGTGTGGTTGCCCATCTACTAAAAGGATTTTAAAGCCCCATTAAAAATATTTTTATTCGCCGGGCGGTGGTGGTGCATGCCTTTAATCCCAGCACTTGGGAGGCAGAGGCAGGCGGATCTCTGTGAGTTCGAGGCCAGGCTAGACCGACAACCTCCAAAACAATACAGAGAAACCCTGTCTCGTAAAAAAATATTTTTATTCATGTGTGTGTGTGTGCTTGTGTGTTTATATGTCCACACATGTGTGTGTGTGTGTGTGTGTGTGTGTGTGTGTGTGTGCATGCCTGCAGGGTTTGTCGGATCCCCTTGTAGCTGGAGTTGCTTGTCGTTTTGAACTGCCTAATGTGGCTGCTGGAAATGAACCTGGTCCTCTGGAAGAGCAGTAAGTGCTCTTAATCACTGAGCCGTCTTCTTTGAGGGGGGGACTCTCTTAATACAATAAAAGAGTAAAGTGGGCCCTCGGACAATCATTTTGATGACTTTATTTAGTAACAGGGTCAATGATTTTAGTGACTTCACTTAGTAGCGAGCTTAAACTTCCAATGAGGGTTTCCTTTAAATAACAGAAGGGAGACTATTCCAGTAAGTCTTATGAAGCTCCCATTTCATTGTGGATATTAGGTTTTATCATTGACTGTTCCATTGTGAGGGGAGGGAATCTACTTGGCAAACTACACACTTTTTTAAGACCCCAAATGAAAATACTAAAATGAGTATCAAGCAGGTGTGTCAATCACGTGTCGCAGGGAAGAAGACAAGTGAGTGGCAAGTTATAAAGTTAACATGTGATTCTAATTCCCGAAGTGTACGCCACAGCTACGCCACATTCCTTTCTGACTCATTCTAGAACCTTCTCCCATTAAAATGCCTGATGAGGGAAAAATGCATGTTTTGTGTGCTTATCTTTCTGTGTGTTCATGTCTTATTAAAAAACTCATTCTTAGAGCAACACAGGGTGGGGACAAAGGGGCTTCCTAAGAGATGCGGCGTGAACACCAAAGGCAAGGAGGATGCAATAAGATGAGTGTGGCGAATGCTGAAGGCGTTGGCCTGGCCCAACCACAGAGCTTGTGAAATAAAATGGAAACAGCTAAAACTGATAGGGAGTTTGATTGCATGCATGCTTTTGGTAGATATTCTTCTATTGTAGTCAGGGTTGTTCTGACTAAAGAAACTGTAGGGACATGCAGTCATCTCTGTCTCTCCATACCAGTGGGTTTTGTATCTTCAGATCCAAAATGCTTGGGAAAGCATTTATAATGAACAGCTACAGTATACTATTTGACTAGCATTTGCATTATATTGCATAAGTCATCAGGGGATGATTTAAAATATATAGGAGGAAGTGTGCAGGTAATATGTAAAAATGACACAATTTACTTGTAAAGAACTTGAGCGCATGGAGATTTGGGGTTCTGTGGGGGACCCAGGTCCTGTGCACCACAGGTCCTGATGGGATGACTAACTGATTTTTAATGTCTTTTCTCTTTTTTATTAATGTGTGTGAAGAGTGTTCTGGAAGGTTAGAAGAGGGTGTCATATCCCCTGGAGCTGGAATTATAGGCAGTTGTGAGTCACTCCCTACAGTTGCTGGGAGCTGAGCTCCAGTCCTCTGCAAGAGCAGAGAGAACTCCTAACTGCTGAGCCATCTCTCCAGCCCCTACTGTAATTGATTTTTTTCTTCCTTTTTTCAATTTAAGTTAGAAACAAGCTTGCTTCACATGTCAATCCCAGCTCTCTCTCCCTCCCATCCTTCCCCCCCTCACCAGGCCCCCAGTCCCCCACCCAATCTCCACTCTGATCCCCAGGGAGGGTGAGGTCCTCCATGGAGGATCTCCAGAGTCTGTCATTTCATCCAGGGCAGGGCCTAGGCCCTCGCACAAGAGTCCAGGGTGAGAGACCATCCCTCATTGTGGGATGGGCAGCCAAAGTCCATTTGTATGCCATTTAATTGATTTTTATAAAGTCATGATTTTGTGACTAAAGAGTTAACATTTTTAGCATAATTTAAGAAACTGAATATAGACTCCTGTGGTGGAGCTGGTTACCAGTTGAAGACTCAGTGTGCTGAGACCTCTCCTAGGACCTGAGCTTAGAGAGGCCAGCCGTTTTCTGAGGCTAGAGTGGTCAGTGGTGTTCCTCTAGGAAGCTTCACTCTGACCACAGAGCCTTAAGTCCCTTCTCCACACAGAAACCTCTTGTCTTGTCTTCATCCTGCTTGCCTGACCTGACTCCACCTTTACCCTTATTCCCAGAATTCCTGCTGCCCCATGAAACAGCTCACACCTTTCTCTCTTCTGGTGATCCTGCCTCTGCCCAAAGGCTTCCTGCTCCTGCCCATCTGGTGATTTTACACTCCAAGTCTTCTTAGCTTTTTTGCAGGGTCATTCTTGTTTTGAGGGCATTGATTCTTTTTTTTTTCCACAACCCTTTACCATCCCATTTGAGGCTTTTTTCCCTGTCTTACATTCTCTTTATCTGTATGTGTGTATCTTGTCCTTTTCCCAGTCGCTTTCTTGGTTTCAGGAAATCAACAAAACATCTTATACTTCCATGTTCCATCCTTGGTTTTTTTAATGATAGTACCAATTTTTAAAAAAGATTTATTTATTATGAATATAGTGTTCTGACATACACACCAGATCTCATTATAGATGGTTGTGAGCCACCATGTGGTTGCTGGGAATTGAACTCACAACCTCTGGAAGACTAGCCAGTGCTCTTAACCTGTGAGCCATCTCTCCAGCCCCAATAGTACCAGTTTTTAAAGTGCATTTATGATCTTCTGTATAAAACCAGCACTTATACAGGGGCATAGATTGTTTTTCTATGTTCCTATTCACATTAGTTCCCCACCACTGATATAATGTGGTGAAATGTTTCCATGTGTCCATGGTAGGTTACGTTTCTAAATTAAGATTTTATTTTTAATGCTGTGCACGTGTGTGCGGGGGACCATAGGAGCATTAGGTTCCCCGAGGCTGGAGCTGCCCAACGTGGGTGCTCAGGACCGAACTTGCATCCTCTTTAAGAGAAGTACACTCTCCTACCCACTGAGCCATCTCTCCAGCCCACACTGCGTTTCTTCTCCCGCCCCCCCCCCCCAAGATTTACTTTAAGTATGAGCGGCTTGCCTGTGAGTGTGTATGTGTCCCATGTGCGTGCCTGGTGCCAGCGGAGGGCGGAAGGGGGAGTCAGGTCCCCTGGAACTGGAGTGAAGGATGGGTAGGAAAGACAAGGGGGCAAGTGCTCCTGACCGCCCAGCGACCTCTCCAGGGACCCATCCCTTGGTGATTCTTAACCTTAGGCCGGCCGTCTGCATCTGTTTCTAGGTGGACATACCACTGAGATCCTGAGGCTGGTTGGAAGCCTGTCCAGGGCTTACTCACCTAGGCACTATGTCATCGCTGACTCCGATGTGATGAGTGCCAAGAAAATTGAATCTTTGGAACATGCTCGAACGGAGAGAGACTCTGCTCCTGAGGTACGTGACCGTCTCTATAAGTGGCAAGTTGTCCATCGAGTTCAGTTGTCTGAAAATAATTCCATAGTATTTCAATGCCCTGCCCTTGATAGGTAATACATTGTGTACTGGTAGGGAAATATTTATCCTTTACTACCAAGAGATAAAAATTACTTTAAATTTTCAAGTTAAAAGTAGCTCTTACTCTCTTATATTATTATTTTTAGAGAAAACTGGCTTTCATTGAATTTCAACTGTGAAAACTGATTTATAGTAACATATATAAAGCATTCAGGATACCTCTTGGATCTTCATTAAAGTACTTTATTAATGCACTATATTTATTGTACATATATATATATGTATCTGTGATTGCTTGTCTTCAAATCACATTTGTATTCACCTTTAGAATTATTTTTCTATTCCCTATTGATGACTTTATTTTAGTATTTTAATCAGTGATACAAAAAGTGAAGTAAGAAAATAGAATAAAAAATAAAGGTAAAGTCGCATCTTTACTGAAGAAGAGTTGCTCCTTGTGTGATCTTTCATCTTTTTCTGTAGAAATTGCCCAGCATAGGGCTATGTATCAGATAGCTCAGAAGAGGGTAGTGGATAAACTCAGGCTGTCAGAGTCTGGGATGTTTGCACTTGCAGACCCAGAGAACGGAGTTCATCTCCCTCAGGCAAGCTCTGTACAGGTTAAAACTGGCGAACTGCAGGTTCATATTCTCAAAAGTAGGTAAAGATGGTTTCTAGGCAGGAGACGGAAGGTAATATACAGTAGCACTATGGGAAACCAGGTGGAGAGTCCTGCCTTCTGTGGCCCCGGGACTCTCCTGTATCGTGTTGAGCCAGGTTGGCCGGTTCTTGGTTGGAAGTCTGGGTCCACTAACTGAGCTCCCCGCTTCTCCCCTTAGTCTCCTCCGCACCACATACTCTCACACACTGTTTTTAAATAAGTCATTGTAACTTACAGCTGTCACCCCAAGCCAGCATACTGTTAAAATGTGTACTCTTGCAAAAATACGTCAAACAAGATCAGAATGTGAATCTAGGTACTTTCCTTCACGTGTACGGAAATGTGTGGGAGACCAGCTGATGCCCCCAGTCCTGGAGGACTGTGTTAACTTCTCAGGACCGGCGCCGTGGTGGTAAGACACCACAAACTGGGCAGCGCAAACACACGCGCTCTCTCACGGTTCTGCAGGCCGGAAGTCTGAAGTCAACAGCGTCACGCCCCCTTAGAAGTCTCTAGGAAAGATGCTCTCCTTGCCTTTTCCTGGCTTCCAGCGTTTGCCAGCAGCCCTCAGCATGCCTTAGCTCGTGTGAATATTGGTATGTTTTTGAAAGGCTTGTATCATAATAGTCCATTTTTCATATTTGGCACAGATATCAAACCACTTTTTTAAGGATAAAACATTAATTCTGAAACCGATAATAATTATAGTCAGCATTACGTCAATCCCAGCTATGCCGGTTATCCCTTCATTTATCTTTTCTCCAATTTCAAACCATCCATTATGGAACCGTCCAGTCCTAACACTCCAAATGGTGATATTGTTCCCCATTCTTAACATGGGGAAGAATTTTTTCCAACCTGATTCCCTCCTTAAGAGTCCCCAGGTGTTTCGCCAGATCTGCAGATGACAGGAAGGTGGAGCTGTGTAAGGGTAGCAGCCAGGGTGACCGCACTCAGCTGGTGGTGGGTGGCGGTAGGGCATACGGCTGTTGCTAGGCCTGCGGCCGTCGCTAGGTGGCGTGCTGGACAGAGAATGCGAGCGAGCATGCAGTGCACGGCCAGGTTGGGGGTAGCTGCTCCCGCAGCTGAGGGCGCCCAGCATGTGAGGGTACAGGGTGGCCTGAATGACAGCCCAAGGAGTCACAGAGAGCCTGAGGGAAGGGAGGGGAAGCCACAGCGGCAGTGAAGAGGTGGTTGGTGTCGTCGCCACCCTGGCATGATCAGATAATGCCCCTGTGTTAGGCACCAGATGAAGTGTTTATCTCAAATTTTCTATTATTAATAAAAACTTGGGAGTCACAGATTGGGACAAAAGCTGATAAATCCAAAGAGCAGCTGAGAAAACGATTGGCTGACCCCACTCTCCAAGTTTCCTGGGATCAGAACCACCCACGAATTTCCAAATCTCCCCTTCCTTTCTGGGCATCTCTGTCTGGGTCCTCCAACATCTCTATGGCTAATTCTGGCCAGCTGAACATTGACTCTGCCCTTTGATTCAAGATTTAACTTTATTGGCGGTCTTGGAGAGCGAGTGAACAAATCCCCTGCAACAATACTATTATCTTTGACATGATTATCAAGCCTGTATTGGTAATTTTATTTTATTAAATTGCATACATCAGTTTGATTGATGAGTCAGAAGTTCAAAAGAGAGGTCTGATCTGGAATATAAACCTTGGGGTTACCTTTGTATAGAGTAAGTGAAAACAAGAAAAACTGTTTGATAACAGAAGGGGACTAAGAACTGGGCCCAGGCACTGTAGGTGGGCTGACTGTGGCAGTACTGGCTGTCAGTTTATTGTGTCTTTTCTGACTGCTCTAGGTCCCTGGTGTAACGGTGCCTTCTTCCCCAAACCTCAGCATCGCAGATGTCCGCTGCCCACTTTCATTTTCTCCTTTTTGGGAGCAAGGGGGTATTTCTCTTTCTTCCTCAGAATATATACTGCTCTATTGTTGCAGCATTTCCCCAACTTTACCTAGAAATATATTGGACATAGTCTATTGCAGTGAAGGTAATTTAAATTTGTCTGTCTTTAGCAGCTTTGATTTCTGTTAACATTCTCTAAATGCCTCTCAAGTCACTCATCTTGATCAATCACGTTAAAGACATAGTACACTAGAATAAAAAACGTAAAAGCAGAGTGCCAAGGACCCGCCTCCGCTTTCCAGGGTCTCCTCACACATGTGGAGACGTTCACTCGGTGCACAGTTCTCGTCTCCATGTAGATAAATGGCTTGGCTATCGGCGGTGCTGACACCGGCCCTGGCCATCCCCGTGCTTCTGTCCTCGAAGTATCCAGAAGCAGACTCAGAAGAGCACCGCACCTTCAGCGTGTGAATTGTGTCCATGGGTAGAAGTGGTGGGGCTACGTGAGAGTCGAGTAGAAGAGACGAGGTGAAGGCTGTGGACGGTCACACCAGTGCCCGTGGTGTAGACAGTGAGGGAACACACCAGTCTGTGGTGTAGACAGTGAGGGAACACGCCAGCGCCCGTGGTGTAGACAGTGAGGGAACACACCAGTGCCCGTGGTGTAGACAGTGAGGGAACACTCCAGCGCCCGTGGTGTAGACAGTGAGGGAACACTCCAGCGCCCGTGGTGTAGACAGTGAGGGAACACTCCAGCGCCCGTGGTGTAGACAGTGAGGGAACACGCCAGTGCCCGTGGTGTAGACAGTGAGGGAACACGCCAGTGCCCGTGGTGTAGACAGTGAGGGAACACGCCAGTGCCTGTGGTGTAGACAGTGGGTGACCTGGCGATGGAAGGTGAGCGGCAGGCAGGGCGCTCCCTGTGTCCCTCATGACAGCAGGGCCAGGCGTCAGCGCTCCCTCTTTTTTACCTCCTCCTCCCCTGGCCTCGAACTCCGGTCGGACCCATGGTCTGGTCTGGTCTGGTCTGGTCTGGTCTGGTCTGGTCTGGTCTGGTCTGGTCTAGTCTGGTCTAGTCTGGTCTAGTCTGGTCTATTCTATTCTGGTCTATTCTGGTCTAGTCTAGTCTAGTATAGTCTATTCTATTCTGGTCTGGTCTGGTCTAGTCTAGTCTAGTCTGGTCTATTCTAGTCTGGTCTAGTCTAGTCTAGTCTATTCTGGTCTGGTCTAGTCTGTGACATTTGAAACAGTCTAGACTTATCATTCAGGTTGTTTTTGTTTAAAGCTACATAACAGTTTGACCATTTCCACATCAATTTTCATCAAAGTTTCTGGAGTTAGTTCTCCTGCCTGCGACTCTAGGAATGTCAGAATTGACAGAGATAAATCAGACTGACTCGTAGGATGACCGGCAAGGATGGAAAGAGCAGAAGGAGCGGTGACGAGGACGCGGGGACCCTGGGTTGGTGGCTCCTTCTTCCCACCCTAGGTTCTCATTTTGATCTCTGTTAGTTTGAGGGGTGCAGAGTGGGGACATGGGGTCCCAGCGGGTAGGCCACTTACCAGCCTTTTAGTCTGTAAAAGGAAGACTTATTTTGCATTACTATTCTGTTTGAAGCAAATTCAGGGTCAGGTTCTAATTGGAATCCGGGTTTTGATGTGCGGTCTGCGTGTGCCCTGCCCATACCGGTTCATATAAACAGCAGCCTCTCCCTGGCAGAATTTTCCTCACCTTTTCCCTGATAGAACTTTACCAATACAATTTCCTTCCTGTTGCTATAGACCTTGAATTCTATTTTAATGGTTTAATTTTTCAGGCTTTTTAAGTGAGTCGGGAAGCGTGTTCCATTTTGAAACATGAGCAGTAGCTGCACTGTGTGATCGTGTGGTCTTACCCATATTCTACGAGCTCTTCTGTAACCGAAGTGCCTCAGTTCACTGCGTGAGAAGCCCAGACTTACATCCCTAATGCAGGCTCGCCCTTGCGCAAGTGAAGAAGCTCCCCGAAACCCGAAGACAACACTGGTTTCAGTTCCCTAGAATTAACTAAGTTATGTGGGAATGTCCTCTTTGGTTTATGACTTATTCTTGTATACAGTTTTTATGGTGTTGGACGTGGAGAGTCACACCTATAATCTCATCACTTGGGAACTGAGACAGGTAAATTGCTGCGTGTACAAGGCTAGCCTAGTCTCTATAGGGAGTTCAGGCCAACCTGGACTGCAGAGTGAGACCCTGACTTCAAAAAAAAAAAAAGATGAAGAAACTTAATAAATAATAGAAATTTAAATAACAAAATTCTGTGAACTTTTAAATGTTTTGCCAGTTTGTAGAAAAGTATCATTATCAACCTATTTATGATAAATATGCAGCACATTTTGAGTTTTTTGGGTTTTGATCTTTTTTTTGTTG